TTCAAGGGAATCCCTGGGAAGACAGCAAGTAAGGACATCGGAATCAATGCGGTCTACCCGACACAACAATGTTGAAGAACCCAGGGGGCGGCTATCCGCACCTATTTCTGGCTCGGACAGTCGGCTAACCTTCACTCACCTGGGTGATTGTGACTTTCTTGGCTCTCACTGTCTATTCACATTTTTATTTGACTTTAAAGGTCCACGATCCCAGTAATTGCAAGCAACGAGATCTTCTTGCACTGAAAATGGTTGGCTTCTTTTCGTGCCTCTGTAAAGACATGTCAATGTGCCTCTTGCACGGAACTAGCTGCAGACAAAAAGGAGAGCCGCACAGAATTCTGGCTTGTCCACCCCCATGTGCCGTAAGCACCCACCCACCCAGTTTCTCAAGCCTCTTAAACTACCAAACTAGGAACACGGCTCATATTCCGCCGTGAATCAATAGAGAAATTCTCTTGGCCAGGTCGCAGAGAGGACAGTCGAATGGAAAGCCCTAATAAGTCGCAATATGACTCCGTTCCGTAGACGTCCTCTCCACCGGCTACGGTTACCACTTTCAATGATTCTAAAAGGAAAAGTAAGAACTTGGTTCCATGGCATGACGCACTTGTTTTTGTCCAATCAAACACCCCCCGCGTTCCATGTGATAGCACGGGCTCAATGGCACTGCTTCACAGTAGGGTAGAAGTGGCTAGATCTGTCAATCTTAGTCTTGGCACACACCCTCGGCGGCAGCCAAGTTTTAAGAGGCCTCCAAATTCTGTCCAAAACCTGCGTCCGCTACAGCACCAAGCATAATTGAACCTGCATTCACCTTGCTTCCCAATTGGCTGACATGTGTGCAGCACTCAACGAGCGGGTGTGCTTACCAAGTGGCTGGCGTGTGTGTGTGTGCAGCGCTGAGCCGGTGCGTGGGCGGGTGTGCTTACTAAATGGCTGTCGTGTGCACCGCACTGCGCGGGTGCGCGTGAGCACCAATTGGCTAGTGGGTGTGCGCAGCGCTGAGGGGGTGTGCGTGAGCGGGCGTGCTTACCAATTGTCTAGCGTGCAGTTGGCTGGCGTGCGCGCCGTGCGCTAAAAGACTGCGCTTTGATCCACGGCGGAATGTGAGCTGTGTTCCAAACCACCACCAAACTGTGGAAACCACGCAAAAGACGAAAACACACCATCTCCATTCGCCTCCTGGAAGGTTTCCTCTACGCAGAGAGCCTTGGGCCCTGCAGCTGTCTTCGGCTCACATCCCGTGGCCAGCACCACATGCTTCGCCTAGCGAGGGCCAAGCAACACACGGCCTGGACCGATGAGGTGCCTGGACCGATGAGGTTTGTTGAGTTCCGTGGTTGGTTTGCGTGATTGCTTTGTTTGTTTGATAGTTTGTGTTGTTCGGTTGGAGGCAAGTACGTAGGTATGGCAGGCTGGCAGGCTGGCTGGCTGGTTGATTGGCTCTTTGGCTGGCTGGCTGGCTGGCTGGCTGGCTGGCTGGCTGGCTGGCTGGCTGGCTGGCTGGCTCGGTCGGTGGGTGGGTGGGTGGGTTGGTCGTGCGGTTGGGTGGTTGGGTGGTTGTTGGTTGGTTGGTGGGTGCTTGGTGGGCAGGCGGGTGGTTGGTCAGCGGGCTGATTGGTTGTTGGGTTGGTTGGGTCGTTGGCTGTGCAGTTGGTTGGTTTGTTACGCGGTTGGTTGGTTGGTTGGGCGGTCGGTTGGGCGGTTGGGTGCTGGTGCGGTGGGGGGGTTGAGTGCTTGGGTGGATTGGTGGTTGGTTGGTTGGTTGGGTGGTTGGTTGGGTGGCTGGGCGGGTGGGTAGCCTTTCCCGTCCCCTCGCCTTCACTTCGCAGGTGCCGCGTTTGCCCTCGAGGGTTGCAACCCAACCACCGGCTTGGCGACTCCTCAGAGGCTGTGCGAACGCGAAATTCGCCGGACCTTCCCTCCTTCACTCCTTGCCTCTCAGCCCTGTGGGCGGATGCTTTGCTGGTTCCAAACACAAATCTAGTCAACTGGGATCCAGACTCCCAAACCGTCGGCTTAAACTCTGCCAAGCTTCAGTTTGGTCACCTTGCCACGGAAAGTGGGCACACCTCCCAGGCTGCTGCACCGAGGTAAGGGCAGCATAACAAACTCAGGGGCTACCGGACAACGGAACAGGGGCTAATTCCGGAGTGGTCCGGCCAGATGTGTCTGCGTCGCATTGGGAACCTGTGTCCAAGTTGTCCTTTGGGTTTCTCAATAGAGTGCCCCAGAAAGGTTCTCCCAACCTGACCAGAAAATGCTTAGGTTCCAAGAACCTTTCGAGGGCGGGAGCCTGCGGTTTTCTGCGTCTCGCCTGAGCTCACAAGCCCCGCAGTGGCCGCATCGAACACGTCCTTGCAGGCGCCCAAAGTGGTGAAGCCCAGCTTGGCGGGGTCGATGCCTAGCAACGCCGAGTCTTCAATCAAGGAAAAGGCCTTTGACTACAGAAAGTCGGACCTCCCTAAAATATTTGGCTCCCTCTTGGCTTCCTTTACAACCACAACACGCCCATTTGCAGGTGCCTACCCTCATTGATCCTCTTATAAGAGCCTTTCTACTTGAAAAGATCGTGTGCCCGACCAGAAAATTGTCAAGAATTCAAGACGGCGAACAACAACACGTCACAAACATTCGAAGAGTCATGTCTAGGCAAAGCATTGCCTTCTTTTGGGTGCGTCATTTTTGAGGGCACCCCAAAGCATAAGGGGCACACCCCTAAAACTGTTTCAAAGAGAACTGAAAGTAGCCCCCCCACCTATTTGCAAGACCCGGGCCCAGTGTCCCCTCTCCCACTCTCTGCCACACGTGTCACGGTCGGAATATGCAGTTGCTGGTTCTTGAGTGTGGGAAACTTAGAGTCCCCCATGTCCCCATCAAATTCGACATACTGTGGATAGAAAAAATCCGCTTCGCACCAGATGGTAGGTGGCGAATTCCAGTATTTCAGAGGGTTTGGTGCCTCAGCGTGGATTTTGTCCATCCACAGTAGCCGAAGCTGGAACAAACAGTGACTTTGGGTTTTGTGGGAAATGTACTTCCTTTACGGGGCCCGGACTCCCGGCCTTTGACTTGCCGGCGCTCAGTGCGACTGTGTGGCAATGAACCCATGGGCTTTCCCTTGCAAGGAAGCCACAAAATGGATGGCGTTGCAGGGGCTCATTCCAATTTTCCCTTCAAGGAAGCCACACATGTGCTGCCGTTATGGGGCCCCCACGTCTCTCCAAGCCACCAGTTGGACGGCGTTTCAGGGCTCATTCCACTTCTCATTCCCTGCCTATGGCTCGGCATTTTCATCACGTCGAGGCACAGGTGGGCAGAGGCTCCGCGGTGTCCACGAGCCGCTGCACCGCCGGCGACACCGTCGCTTGCACCTCGCGACTCGCTCGCGGGGCTGCGATTGGCGGACCACTTGGCGGCAACCGCAGACCATCCAAGTACCCCCAAAGAAGTACCCAGGCGAAAATAATTGGAAGATACACCTCCATGCACTCTTGGCATGGTGACTTAGGCTGGCCAAAGCATTTCAAGCCTTGCTGTGCGTGGGCGGGTGGGTGGATGCGATGCGTGGCAAAATCTGTGAAGAACAAGGAACTCCAAAAGGAGGCGGCTTAGTACTGGGCTAAACATGGTTAACTCTGGCTCTCAAGGAATGAGGAAATGACCACCAACACTGCTTTGTGGTTTTTGTGGGGAATCCTCAAAACCACCGATTCCCTACGTACGGAACCAGCAACAAATTGTGGGGAGCCATCGGCTTGGCCCAGCCCGAATTCTGCACATCCGCGAACAAGGAAGGATTTTCCAAAATGCAACCTGTTGGCTTCCCTTTAAGGCCAATCAGAAGTGGGGTCCTCCCCAAAACCACCCATGCCTCGCTTGCTCATGGCCATGGGACCCTGTAGCTCTGAGGCGAAAGCGATTCCTTTGTGCTGGAAACCTTCAGGCAGACATGGGGGCTACACCCCATTAAAAACCACGTCCCCGAAAAGGGGACACATCCACTACCGGGCAACGGCTTTGGACTCGAGCGACGAGACAAAACCCAAGAACATAACATTGGGACTTGTCTGTTGCATTCCTGGCGTGTGTCATCCAAATTTTGATTCTGCCAAGACCGATGTTGTCAAGGTCACAACGCAAGAATGTCGAAGGAAAGCATCCCCAGTTTCACGTTTCGCCTCTTGAAACTGCCTAGAGACTGAACTTTTAATGCAACAAGCGGCCTTGGCACGCATGGCCTTCAACCCAAGCTGTATGTTTTTTGGCACGCGCTTCTCAATTTTTGGATAGATGGAAGTTGCTTTGCGCTTTGCCATATCACTTTTTACAAAGGTGACCGTCGGTGGCATTGGAACAACCCCCTGAACCCCAGGTACCTGAAACGCGCTTGGCTTTGCGCATGCCAGGTCTTGCGAGCTAGTACCCTCTTCAGAGTAGTTTAGAGTACCCGGAATCCCGGAACAGGCGGTTGTCTTCATACGAACCTCGCGGGAAACCAAGGAAAACTTGAGGGAAGCCAAGGAAGGCCAGCTCAAACCCAGGACAAGCCGAGATCAAACCCGTGGAAGTTCGAATCGGGAACCTGGTGCATGAGCGGATGGTTGAAGGTGCCCGGTCCCACCTCGGCTCTCGGAACCGGGATCGGCTCAACATGTTCCAAACCGCCAAACCGCCAACATCCGAGGCCCTTGGGAACGGGAAAGGCGCGGTGTCCCTCCAAAGGTCCTTTGAGGGCCAACCTCAGAGAGCCAAGCTCTGCCTGTTTGGCTACGGGTCGAGAGCCAAGCCGGGCAACGCAGGAAGAAAAGAAGGTCGGAAAGGCATTCACCCACAAGACTCGTAAACCAGCTGAGCCAAAGCAGCTCTTACGGTATCGACGCCGGTGAGTGCAATGAGTCGGCAATGAGCTTTTCTTCCCTGTAGCTCCATGCCGGAGACGCGTCATTTGACGAACCGCCCGGCCTTTGTTGGCACGGAGAAAAATTGGAAATGTCTTAGATCCGAGGGATCGGCTGTCTGCCTGAAACGACTCGCATCCTCCAGGCAACAAGCGCCGGTATCAAGGAGATTGCGAAGAAAAGCGCCTCGTTCTGCAGCCTCTCCGGAATCCAGGCACTGCAGAGCCGCTCGGCGGACAAAAAGAACAGGTGAAGCACAACATTTGCCATACGGCAAAGCCAGCGCAGTGGCTTGCTGGTGGACAATGCACGCGCTTTGCGCACTAAAACAATGGTGAAGGTAGCAATTGCCGGCAGGGTATTCAAGTACCATGACGCAAAGTCGATGAGCACAGCGCCGGCCTCTTGCCATCGCTCCTCTCGGATCCGTGCCGCAAGGTGATCCATGTAAGCCCAAACAAGTGGAACCCCACATGCCAGCATCGAGCGGTAGGGCCAAGGAAACTTCACCAATTCATCTCTCACCGCGTCAGCCACAGTCGTGGAGATGTGGTTTGCGCAAGCATCCTCTGAGCCAAACCAGAGGCGCATGCACAGGACTAGAACGTCTCTATCGCAAGACAAGTTCTGACCGTCATCATCCTTGTGATTCATGGTGCAGCAGGTGCAGCTTGCATGATCCATGGAAAAGTTCCTCAAGCGAGCATCCAGAGTATCCAAATGAGCGTAGAAGTCGAAGATCAAGATCTCAAGCAAGCAGGCAACGGTTGCCATGCCAACCAGTGCCAAGATGACCACAAGCACATGGTCGAAGGGGAGCGCGATATTGCACATCATCACCAGAAAGGCGAGACCGAACTGGGCCAACCAGAAGGTGCTCGTAAAAGCGGGCAGAATTGCGACCTGCTGCTTCGCCGCCTCATGGCTCTTCAAGAAGGCGGCAAGCTCGAAAATGCACCAAAGCCTAGAAGGGGAGCCTTCTTTCGAGCCTTCACCATTCCGTCCAAGCCTTCAGCCAGTTTATCTCAGCCTCCCCCCTAACCCTTTCTTGTTGATCTTCTAGTTGGTCGTTTCCCTCCATTGTTCCTTTGCCACCCTGTGGCTGAGGCCCACAGCAACTGCACTGAGCTAAGGTTGGTCTAGGGTGGGTTTAGGGCTGGGGTTGGTTAGGTTGGGCAAACTTGGGGCGGGTTTATGGTGGCCTTGGGCCGAGTTCAACGTTGGTTTAGGGGTGTAGCGCGTGGCTTGCCGGCTTCCGCTGGGTCGAGGGATGGAAGGACAGCCACGGTGGGTCTACGCCTGAAGAAGGGCGGGTTGCATGTTAACTGAGTTGTAAAGAGATTCGGTTGGAAAGAACATCCTGTGAAAATTATAATTGAACATATAATAAAGTTGAATCTACATGCTAACATAACATAGAAGTTATGATTGGATTATTCCCTTGACAACTTGTGTATTAACTCTAACTGAACTGTAAAGTTTTATTGAGAAAGAAACTCTATCTAAATTCGAATTTCCCAAATTCAAGATGTAGGAATCTATTCAGATACTTATTTGGTGATTCCCATTTAGATCGTATTCAAACTGAAATTGAATTCTAGAGAGCGGCCGTTGGTGGAGATGCGAATTGAGTACTAAAAACGCTACAAAGCACTGTGTTTTACGGCGTTTTCTGACCGCGGAAGTGCAGGGGCCAGCAGCAAAAAAAGATGTCGAGACCTTTGAATTAATTCTTTTGGAATTCCACTTAATATGTTGATTAGATTATCTCAATGTCTAAGGAAAGACTCCAAAACTAAGTTCTATTTTAAAAAGTAGACTTTAAGTGATGATTCTTCTAGTTCAAATTATATGTTACACTGGGGTTCCTTTCCAACAGACATGTCTTTACAAATCAGTACGCATTTAAACAATTTATTCAGCAATGTTGGGACCTCTGAATTACAAAAAACATGACTAACAGGTTCAAATTAATGTGCATAACTAGAAATAGACAGAATTGGGTAAGGAAAGACTACAATTAGAACTGCTCAACTCATAACTTTAATAACTTTCATTCGGTTTCAGTTTAAATGTTTCACTGGCATTTTGTCCCAAGAGAATGTTCTTTACAAATCAGTAAACATTTAAACACACTTAATTCAACAAATTTAGTACCTGTGAGCGCGTTCCTTCTGAATCATGCTCAGTATATGCATCAAGTTAGGAACTTACAAAGGAATGAACTCAATCGGAGGACACCATCTCTATCTTACAGTGGACTATGCAAGTCCTCTTGCAAACAGTGCCAGAAACGGGAAATGCGCTAAATACACAAAGCCCGGACGAAAGTCATGCCCCCCAAGTAAGGCCAGCTGACATAGTCGTGTCTTCTTTGTTTTTCTCTTCATGTTTTCATATTTTTCCAAAAAATACACAGCACCTCGAGAAAATCAGAAGATCAAAAAACAGATTCTGCTTCCCAAGGCAGGACAAATGCCATGTCTTGTTCTGTTCTTGTCTTTTGTTGTTTGTTGTTTGTTGGTGTTCAAGGTTCTTCACTTGTGTCCCATTCAATGCAAAGAACTAGAAAGCCAAAACAACTAAACTATGCCCCTCCCCCCCCCCCTCCCCCCCAAGTCAGGACAGCTGACACACTCTTGATTGTGTTTGTCTGGTTCTTGTTTGGGTTTCCCAAGTTTTGTTTGGTTTTGCGACAACACCATCGCACAAAACTTACAAACAATTGCTCTCCAGGGCGTCCTGTTGCGTTAAGAAAACGCAGGGTCGCGGGTGAAAAACAACACTGTCGCTAGTGAAAACACAACGTGGAGGGTAAACCAAGTGAAGGGCTGAAAAGGTGCGATTCCCCAGGATAGAAAAACATGGTTCCTCTGGAGGGTTTCAACACAGGGCTTGAGGGTTAAAAACAAGGACGAGTTTCAAACAAGTTTGGAGTGCAAACAACGGGAGATGAAGCCTCTCGACCCAGGTCTCATCCCACAGGATGAGCATGCCCTTGGCATTCTTGATGTTGGCCCCAAGGCTCAACAAACCACGCTGCTTCAGTTGCCCGTCGGTTTGATGAATACACATCAAGTCCATCCAGACCGTCTGCCGCGATTGCCACAAGTAGGCCACGAGATAAAAGAGCAGTGTCCCTGTCAGCAGGCACCAGGGCGCGATTTTGATTGGAGGTCCACTCCAAGGTTGTTTCGTGTACCCGGGAATCATGTCCAGGCACCCAAGGGTACACAGCACCGACGCGCCCAAGGTGGCCAGAATGGTGGCAGGCATGCCGTTATAGCGGCAAAGCAGCAACCACGCTTTCTTCCACGTTGGTGTCCTACATGGTGGGAAATATTCCTTCCCGAATTGGCCATCATGACTATACTTTTCTACTTTCGAGGTGATTCCCTCGGTATCACAGAAAATGTCAACTTAAAACCCTATTCCCCACACGATTCCACAACCATGTCCTCCAACTGTGAGACCAAAAGTCCCCAACCTGCTTCGTTGTGACAAAGCTGTCGCGGTAACCACACTCCTGGGAGTCGATCAGAGTTATTTAAGCGGTGTCCGCGAAAAATAAAGGGCTTTCTTCTCGACTTGTCGATACACCAACCCTCCCAAAAAACATGCCGAAGCCTACATTTTTCAATGGCGCAGAGAAGAAAGAGAGAAAGAGAAAGAGAAAGAGATAGAGACAGAGACAGAGACAGAGAAAGAAAGAACAAAAACAAGAACAAGAGAGAAAGAGAGAGAGAGAGAGGGAGAAACAGAGAAGGAAAGAAAAAAAGTGGAAGACAAGACACAAAGAGAAAGAGACACAGAGGAAGAGACTAAGAGAAAAGACAAAGAGAAAAAGACAAAGAGAAAGAGAGACAAAAAGACAAAACGACAAAGAGACGAAGAGGAAGAGAAAGCGAGAAAGAGAAAGAACCAGAGGTGGAAAAACAGAAAGAGGAGGGGAAGAAGGCAAAGAAACACAGAGACAAAAAGACAAAAAGACGAAGAGACAAAGAGAAAGAGGAAGGGAAGGAAGAGGAAGAGAAAAAGAGAGAGAGAGAGAGATAGCGATAAAAAAAAGAAGAAGACAAAGACGCAGACTCTTGAACTATTGTAACTATTGTTTGTATCTTTGAAACTTACCCCGCCCCCAGACTTTTTCTGCCCCCCTTTGTCTTGGTGGGTGCCTCAAAGATGGGCTTGATCCAACCAAGAAGAAATCGGTGCTTCTCAAAAGTGGGGGGCCCCTAAAACGACTTTGTGTTTCCTGTTGATGTCCATTGAAACGACCAATAAACACCAACAAGAGGGTCATAAGCCAGTCCCTTACCAGGGCAACTGTCCTTTTTTGAGGGACCCCCCCAAAAAAAATACAGTGTAGGTGAGTTCCCTTGGTTCCCCCTTTAAAAAAGCACACCCGGCAGTGCGTCGATTTGTTTTGGAGCACCTTTAAAGGGAAAGCAACAGGAAACCCACCGAGCCGCTGCCCCCAAAAGAGGTTTCCTCTTAAAGCTGCTGCCTCTTGCCCAAGGTGCCCTGAAAAAGCAAAATCACACGCCGGTCGCACCGAATTCGCTCCTTCGTGTAGGGCCAGGCCAAGGCCTGCATCGCTTTTCCCGCCGTGACGGCTCTCAGCTGCTCTGGGTCTAGCACCTGCAGCTGGGCCATCCACCGCGCCACGCGCTCCGGCTCCTGAACCGGTTTCTCTTTTTGCCAGGGCTGTTGGGAGGGTTGGGGGTTTTGGAGGGTTTGGGGGGTTGGGGAGGTTGGGGCGTTAGGGGGATTTAGGGAAAAAACAAAACAAGACGGAAACAAAAACGACATGCTTGTCGCCTTTGCCTGGAGTTGTTGGGAGCATCGGTGGAGAATCCTCCCCCATGGTCAAAAGGAAACCTGGGATTGATTCCCAACAGGTGGTGCCTTCCTAGTGAGACGACAACAGGCTACTTGGCCCAGGCTCCATGAACTCGTCTTGGCATTCCTTCTCTTGGCATTCGTCCACCTGGACGGCTGGCGGGCTCAGACCTTCTTCGCCCGAGCCATCCATGGCGTCAAAATGACTCTGACTGTCTCCTGCTGGGCATGGGAAATTTGAAGGGACTACGGCTGCAAAACCAAAGGGACTTAAGTGACTTGCACCCATACATGTGTGGTCAAAATTGGGCTACATCCTCCATGGACATGGACATTTAGGGCTTGCACTCTTGGCTTTCGTGGTTGAAACTTACTTGGCGGGAGTCCATTTCTCGTCCGACATGTTAACCAAATCTCATGAGGCCAACGGCTTGATCCTTCCGTTGCTGCGAATGGAGAGAGGAAGCTGGGCAAAGTCATGGCTCTTTACCGGAATAAGCCAAACCCTGGAGCAAATTCTCCGCGCGCTTTTGAGGCGTGATCCCTTGCCCTCTGGCAGCAAAGTCGCTTTAAGATCCCGTGGGCTGGACAGCTCCCCGTGGTGTTTTTGGTTTGAGGCGGTCTTGAAGAGAACCAACAGCAAGCCCGTGTTGGTCTAAACACAGCCTGATAGGAGTGAAGTGCCACTCGGGGACCCTCCCCAAAGGCCTTTCCTCTCCTTGGTATCCGACCTGCTTGCTAGACGCCCTAAAAATGGGCGTGCTTTTAGCTTCTCTCAAATGTGCAAACCCTTTTGCGGGTGCCACCAAAAAATGGACTGACCCCCCAACAAGAACACCGGACAACGTCACAAGAACCCGACGTTTAAGACGCGGCCAAGGCGCCAACATGTCCACCTTGGTGTTGCAGGGCACTGTGGTGAACCGAGAAAGGCGCCCAGACTCGAAGGCCGGGTCCACCCAAAGCACACGCCTGAGGATTCGCACCGGATGGATGTCTGCAGATGGCGTCTCAGGGGCTTCAAATATCAGAATCTGAGGGGCGTCCACTCACGCAACAAGTCAACAAGTCACAAAGGGCGTCTGGCACTGCACAAGACAGGAGAGCCAACAGCGGACAAATCCCTCGGGATAGACCCGCGGGCAGGGATCCATGAGCCACACAGCTTTCCTGGAGTTTAAAGCACGGGCAAAAACCGACAACTCACCGCTCGGGGGCCTTACCTTTTTGCAAAGACTTTGTGGACATGTCCCCGGAATTGCAATCTGATCCGTTATATACAGACACACAATAGCTGTTGCTGCTTTTGGGGCCTGACCCAGCCTAACAAGAAAAAGGCGCGCGCTTAGTTGCACTGAGCGAGTCGCAAAGACAAAGACAGAGTTGCTTTGGATTGGTGGCTTGACTTGAACCCCGCTCCTCCCTGTCTCCCGGAGGGCCAGCACCGCCGCAATGCCCGCAGGCCCTGCGCCGCTTGGTTCGATCAGGCGAGGAGAAAACCTGATGGGTGTTCGGACAAGCACATGGCTGGTTGTTTTGTTGGGGAAACCCCCTCAAGTGTGTCTAATGGACATACATCTGCATAAATCGACCTGGAAAAGAAGGAGCCTGTGGGCGTTTGGCAGTTTTCTCTTGTAAGTCATTGCAACACTACAGCATCATTAGCATAGACCAAGTAGCAACGACGACATGTGCAGTGCATGCCGGTCACTCTGCGCGAAGGGGGGGGGGGAACAGAGTTGCGTTAGCACCTGGGGATTGCAAATCACGAAGCAGCAAAAGGGGGAACACAAACTCCCCTTGCTTTGGCGCGGCTTTTGCACGCATGCTTTTTTGCATCGGCGGCCCAACAAGGTTTGCCAGCAAGCTAGCCAAGTCATGTCAGGCCTTTGTGATGCTTGTAAGTCCTTTATTGCAATGGGGAGCAGCAAGCTGCCGCTCCCAAACTTTGTGTGTGGAAGACGGACAAACGTTGATGCAGATAGGTGCAAATGGCAGGGTGTCGTGGTTTTTTTCGACAGCTGTTCCGGGTGATTTTGCTGATGAGCCAAAACGCACGGGCTCCTATAGGCGCAGGTACCTAGATTTTCCCCTGAGCTCATAACTATAGATTCAAGGGTTGCCGGTTTGGGGCCCAAAAGGAAACAACAAACCGTCCAAGTGCGCTGCTCGCACATTTTCACGCTTGAACAGCCACACTGCGGATGCAATGGATGTAAAACCCCAAACTGACCGATCAAATTCTTCACCCCCCTCTGCGTGTTAAAGGGGCCTTTCACAAAGCAGCCAAACAGTAACACAACAGAGGGAGAAGGTCAGGGGAACCATTGACACATGCAAACCATGACAGTTGCGCTTTTAGCGCCACTGCCACGTAGAGTAGTTTCCGCTACTGTTGTCCCATCCGCTCCACCCGGACCAGTTCTGCCAGCTGCCTTGGCTCCAATGCTCACCCTCGCGGGCGGCGGGAGCACGTGTGTCGGCATAGCGAGCGGCGTTGCGAGCGAGGTGCTTGCTGCTCTCGTTCCTCGAAAACTCGATCGAGTTACGAGCGTAACGCTCGTTCTGGCTGAATATCCAGTCCATTTCGTGGCGGAGGTCCTCGATGGCGTTGCTTCGCAAATGGATGATGCCATTCCAACAACCAATGCTGCGAGGCTTGTCCTGCTCGAAGACAACATTCACAAAAGCCCGTGGGCTGTATGGCATCCCTTGGAACATGATGATCCAACGGGAGCTGAGTGCATCTTGCAATTCGCTGGGCAGGAACTCCAACTCCGTCTTTATGTACGCGAGCCTTGCGATTCGCGACTCCGAAGTTGATCCAAGGCCAACTCCAAGAGTGCGCTGGGCTTGCGACTGCTTTGGAGCAGCCAAGACGAGGTTTGCACACAACTCCATGCGGAGTATATCCGCATCCCGACGGCCCACCTCAAGCATACGAACCCTGTATTGAAGGTCGAGTTCATAGCGATCAAGCAGAGAGTGGTAGCCGTTCTTCAGGGCGGACTTGTGCTTCTTCCGGGCCTCCTGAATAACAGCACTGTCCGGGGAGTTCAAGCCACGAAGAATGCTACTCCGATCCTCCTCGCGGAGGTCAAAAGTTCCCACGGATGCCAAAACCTGAGCTGTGACATGGGTGCTGAGGCCCATCTTCTTCAGCAAATTGGAACGCTGCACAAGGTAATTCTTTTGCTGCTCTTTCAACAGGCGAGGATTGAGGGGTGACAACTGCCCACATGATGTGCAGTGGACCTGCCCCTCGAACACACTGTTGTTGCAAACCGGGCACGTGGCGACATTCAGCTCAACGTTCTCCATTGGATTGAAAGTCTTCTGTCTCTTCGCTTCCCCTTGCGGGGCGCGAGGAGACGCCACATTGGTGCGGGTTGTAGCAATGCGCTCCAGTGCTGTGGACCGATCATCAACCACGGCTTGGTCGCGCTTCATCCCCTGGGGTTCATCCTCAGTCGCCTCAGCTGGTGCACCTGCATCCGATTGCTCGGAGCGAGTGTACCATACATCGCCATTTGTAGCGTCCAATACAGAAATAATCGTGTAGTTGGGCACCTTGTCGCGCGTGAGGACGCCATCGCTCTCTGTCTTGAAAAAGCAAAGCCCTGCGCGAATGGCCATCCTGAGGTCGATCTGTATTTCTAAGGGCTTGTTAGCACGTACGCCTGAGATGTAATTTTCGTTCGTGCTCGGGATGTCAGCGAAGAAAACGTGAGGTCTGCCTGTCTCGTGCTGGTCACCTCCTCCTGGGAGCAGTCCGTTTCGCATAATGTTGGCGAAGTTCCGCTTATCGGTGCGATGATAGAGCACCGTAGGAGGGTTGCTGCAGACGTTCCAGCCAGACCAGCGCCCGAGGTCAGTCCCCGGGTTCACGTACCACTCCTTCGCGATGCCGGAGTCGTCGATTTGGAGCCAGTCCTCATGGCCTTGGGAGGCCTTGATCTTGAAAATCCAATGAGAACAGGGGACGTCTCCGCACCGGCTTGCGTCCGGGCAACCAAGCGCAATGAACCTCTGCTTTTTGTCGAGCTTGAAGATGTCCATGATATTCTGAATATTCCATGGAATGGGATGTCGCAGCTCCTTGCGAAGCGCGAGTCCCAAATCTTCAAGGTCCATATAGCCGTCCTCATCCATCACGTACCCACATCCTTCTGTCCCACGACCACGGAGGATCTTCGAGATGCACGTCAGGGAGCTGTGGTACTCGTTGCTGATTCTCCTGACGGAAGGGTCGTAATCGAAAGAAGGCTGCTTGATGATTTCAAGTCGCTTGGGGCCCTCACCATAGTCAACATACTTCACGCCATCATGAATGCTATACACCCAGCAATCGTAGTGGCCCCCAGTCACGCTCCTCCCGTAGGAGTCGAGTGGTACCGGCCTGCTCGTCGCCTCGTCCCTCTGTGCCACCGCAGCCGCTTTTGCCCCGGCTTGCGCCGGGCGAACACTTTCGGAAACATCAGCACCGGAAGGCTCACCTGAAGTTGCAAACTCGGCTGGATCGACAGGGGCGAAATCGAGGGGCTGCCGGACCTCCACTTCTTCACGGGTGAAAGGGAGCCCGATCATCTCTGACAATGAAACGCCGCACTTCGTTAGCGTTTCCTTGCAGTACGCGAGAACCTCAACGTTGACTGTGCAATCCTCTTGGTGGCGCACCTCGAGCACATCGATCGGACGCATGGTGCAATCATGCGAACGTGTCAGCTCAGCTACGCTGCCCATCGCGGGGCGCAAGATGGAAAGCATATACAACATGTGATGGGTTCCGCGCATAAACTGGACGGTCTTCGTGATATTGTCGTCACTGAAGCACATATGATACCTGTCCAGCAAATCGATGGTCTCGACGAAGGGTGTTGCATCTACGTACACAAACATATTGTTGGGGTCGCCGATGATGTAATCCCGGACTTCCGTCATGAAACGGTCCCAAATCATAGAGAAGCCGTAGAGATAGCTCTTCGCGCCGGTCATGACTCCAAGGCATGCGCAGCCCTTGCGGGCCGCGAAGTCCCTGGTCCAAGCCAGGTGCCGTCTGGTGTCAGCGAGAAGTTGTTCGGCGTCTCCGATGGGGGTGTCATAAGGATATGTACCAGTGGGCTCGAGGCCGTCCTTCCCAACGAGCTCGTTGCCATTCCAGTAAATCATGGGAATGATGGTGGCTGCTGGGTA